CTCTCTCTCCTCCCAGCTCTCCCGTCACTACCACAGATCTTGCTTTGCCCCACCCCCCAACCCCCCACCTCTTTCTCCCCCAGCTCTCCCGTCACTACCACAGATCTCGCTCTGCCCCACCCCCCCAAACCCACCTCTCTCCCCAGCTCTCCCGTCGCCACCGCAGATCTTGCTCTGCCCCACCCCTAACCCTCCACCTCTCTCCCCCAGCTCTCCCGTCGCCACCACAGATCTTGCTCTGCCCTACCCGCCAAACCCACCTCTCTCTCCCCAGCTCTCCCATCACCACCGCAGATCTTGCTCTGCCCCACCCCCCAACCCTCCACCTCTCTCTCCCCCAGCTCTCTCGTCGCCACCACATATCTTGCTCTGCCCCACCCCCAAACCCACCTCTCTCCTCCCCAGCTCTCCCGTCGCCACCACAGATCTTGCTCTGCCCTACCCCCCAAACCCACCTCTCTCCCCAGCTCTCCCATCACCACAGCAGATCTTGCTCTGCCCCCCCCCCCAACCCTCCACCTCTCTCTCCCAAGCTCTCTCGTCGCCACCACATATCTTGCTCTGCCCCACCCCCAAACCCACCTCTCTCCTCCCCAGCTCTCCCGTCGCCACCGCAGATCTTGCTCTGCCCCACCCCCCAACCCTCCACCTCTCTCTCCCCAGCTCTCCCGTCACCACCACATATCTTGCTCTGCCCCACGTCTCTCACCCCAGCTCTCCCGTCGCAGGTAAACAAGTGAGCCCCCTTCCAACATTGTCATTTCATTGTACAAACAATTCTAATAATTTAAAACGTGATAACACGTGCAATTTTAGTGTGAGTGGTTTATCCAGCAGTGCTTTAGTCAAAGGTAAGTGTTGCATAGTGGATAGTCCTACCATGAAAAAATGTAACGAGTCATGACATGCCACACGTGTAAAATATTTTTGGAATAGCCCGCACCTCCATATACCCCGCAGGGTTTTATTTTGTTTGTAAAAAAGTGGTATACCCTGCGGGTTATATGCGGCAATTCTCTTCTCATTTGGTCTCCCTTTATCTCTCGTCCAAAGGTGGGCAAAGTGCGTTGAAATCGCAGCTGCAACAGTACTCACTCGTCGTATCCATAATCGTAATCATATTCTCATTGCATGGTAATCACTCAGTCACTATTCATTCAATCCACTCGTCATGATTTACTATCAGAATACCAATTATTATTGCATGCCTGTCACTCATTCACTCCGATTCATTCAACCCATTCATAATTATTTGCTAACGTAATAATAATTATTATCATTGCATGGTCATCCCTCATTCACCCCCATTCATTCAATTCATTCATCATCATTTACTATCAGGAAAATAATAATTAAATTGCCATCACTCATTCACCCCATTCATTCAATCCATTCATAATCATTTAATATCAGAATAATAATTATTATTCTCATTACATGGCTATTATGCATTCACTCCATCATCATTTACTGTCATCAATTTCGCCTCCGCCGATGTCACGAATCATCACAGATTCGCCCCACGTTGCCACCTCTCGTCTCTTTCATTCACCCCATCTGCACCCATTACATTCATATGCAGTGCCCTTGCTCATTCTTCGTAAGAATTATGTTAAGATAAGATTACGCCCGCTTTATGAACCTTTCCACTGGCTACCGATTCAGTCTGGAATCACCACCAAGAGTGCACTCACCGTGTATTCAAAATTCTCCCCAGGCTAGCGCCCGATGCCTATCTTTCCCCGCTGATTTCAGCATGGTTTACTCCGCCCCGGGTTCTCCGTTCATCTTCCCCAAGGTTCTGCTCTCCACCCCCCCCCAAAGAAATACAACTGAAACTCCACTGGCGGACGAGGCTTTCTCATGCGCAGCTCCCTCCTGCCTGCAGTCTGGAACACCCTCCCACTCCACAATCCGACAAAATCAACTCCATCACCGTATGATCATCATAATTATTATTCAAATCCGAACTGAAGGCCTTTTTTAATTCATCCAGGCACACGCTGATAAATAAGAAATCATATTTTATATTTCATGGAAGCGAGTTCATAAGTATGGGTGTTCATAAGTGTGGGTGGTGTTCGTTAGTGTGCGTGTTCTTAAGTGCAGGCGTTCGTAAGTGTGAGTGTTCGTAACTGCGGGTGTTGGTAAGTGCGGGTGTTTGTAAGTGTGGGTGTTCGTGAGTAGGGTGTTAGTAAGTGCGGGTTTTCATAAGTGCAGGTGGTGTCAACTTTATTAACACCCCCCCCCCCCCTCATGAAGGTTCTTATGGGCTTGGGTGAGAAGTTGGAACTGTGGTCTGGAATGTGTAGTAGACCTTGACGGACTAATTTCTCTCATTGTCGTTTGTGCCCTTTTGTACTTTGGTGCCTTGTTTGTTTATATTAAAAAAAAACATTCTTCAGGGGTATTTCATTTGCTTGGTAGCAGCTGCATCTAGAATTTTGTCCCGCATATATAATTAACTAGCGGGAAGTACCCGGCGTTGCCCGGGCGAAAAAGGCAGACACACACATGGACTTACACACAGACATCGACCCACACACATAGAAACACATCGACCTAGACGCACACACACACACACACATGGATAAACCCAGGGTGGATCGTTAGCAGGCCAGCCTAAATGTTTCCAACCAGCGAAGATGTTCCATTAGGTGGGTGCACGTTTCGCAAGCGTACAGAAGGTAGGGGATTACCGTGGCCGAGAAGACCTGGAGCTTCATGCAGAGCGAGAGACCAGGTAGCTTCCACACAGCGTAACGCAGCCAATAAAAATATGATGGCGCTCAACTGATTTGGAGTGAGATGTCTGGTGTTAAACCGGAGCTGGTCATGAGCACACTGGCCAGGTATGGGAATCTCTCCAATGTCCACACAACTGCCGCATCAGAAATTGTGAGTTGTGGGGGTGGATTGTCCGATGGTACAAAATACCCAGCCAGGTGCTTAGATTTGATGGGGCTGATGGTAAGGCCCCACCTCTTAGTGCCAAGCTCCAGGTTCAGCAGCAGTGCCTTCAAGTCCTCCTCTGAGTGAGCAGGATTCACCAGAGCATCGCATACATTACATGGTTGATCAATAGGGAAGCCATCCCTTGACCGTACCCGGGGCATCGATCAGCCTCCCATTGTATATTACCATATGGTAATTCCCTCCGGTACAGCCACTGAAGTCTTCACGAACTACGTGGTCAAAATATATGTTAAAAAATGTGGAGCCAGAGTACATCCCTGTCGCACCCCAAGGTGTAGAGGGAATGGCTCTGACTGACGGCCACATAGTTTGACGCGGGGCCACTCACCATCATGAAGGTCCTTAAGGATCGTGAGCAAAGGGTGAGGGACTCCGAAAGTATGAAGAACAACCCAGAGGGCAGGCCTACTGATGGTATCACAGGCCTTGACCAGGTCAATAAAGCACACACATTCACTCACACGCACACCATGGACCTACAGACACGCAAAGAATGGACTTACACGGACTCACATGGAGCCACGGACACAAAGCGACTAACACACACACCCATGGACTGACACACACAGACATATGGACTCGCACACACAAACACATGGACTTGCACACACACATATGGACTCACACACGCATAGACATCCACTTTAGATACACACACATGGAGTTAAACACACATATGGACGTAGACACATACAGCGACACACACACACATCGACTCACACACAGATATACATTGACTTACAGACAGATTGACGTAAACACGCATATGTACTTACACACACATATCGACTAAGACACACACACATGGACTTACACACACATACATAGACTGACACACACATTGCCCTACACACATATACACATATGGACTGTGTCACACAGACATCTACTTTAGATACACACACATGGCTTAACACACATATCGACTCACACACACGCATTGACTTACACACACACATCGAGTGACACACACACATGTATGGACTTACACACACGTGGACTAACAAACACACATAAGGACTGACACACACACATCGACGTACACACACACATGGACTAACACACACACAGCGACTGATGCACACACAAATGGACTGACACGCACACTTGGACGTACACACACACATCGGGCGATGTCCAATCGTAAAAGACAGACACACAAATGGACTTAAACACACGCATGGACCTACACGCGCACACATATGGACTCAAACACACACACACATCGACTCGCACACACACATCGACGTGCACAGCATTCACCGATGATGGGACAGCTCTCAGTATCGCAGTACTCCGTATGAGTAAATAGCGTCACATGAGCGATGGAAACAATGGAAATGCATTGAAGAAATAAGCAGAAAGCAGTGTAAATTAAAGAGCAGCAGTACGCACAGGTAAGTTGAGAAGCAGGCTACAGTTTAGATCATAGACTGCCAGTATGCCGACTCAATGACATAAGCATTGCTTCAGTCGACATAAAAGCTGCCAATACAGGCAGCAGCTGCAAAAGCAGAATACAGTCGACATGAAAGGCGGGGAGTACACTGAGTGAGGTAAAGAAGCAGGCAACAGATTATAGACTGGCATACAGTCATAATGGTCAAAAGGAAAATTAGTAGTGTAGATAATAGTGGCAGTGCACTGACGTTAATTAATGAGCAGGCAGCAGAACACATGACAGACTGGCAATACACCGTCGCAGCGTGATGAAAGCACAGCTAAAAAAGGGAATATTTATCAAGCTAATAATGAAAATTTTGTTTTGTGCACACACACATCATTGTAATATCTGGCAACGTATTTGTTTCATAATAGTAAACAATGAACCCGAGTTCTTATCTGCACACAAACATAATTATTGTAATGTGGCAACTTATAAGTTTCATAATAGTAAGCAATGAAGCAGAGTTCCTATGTGCACACAAAAATTATTATTGTAATATCTGGCAACGTATTTGTTTAATAATAGTAAACAATGAACCTGAGTTCGCAGGGTAAGAAGCAAGGAAATTTGTACTTACCACAGGCTTAGTCAGGCCTAGGCCGGTGCGGAGCCCCCGTCCTGGCCTACATTGCCGAGGCGGGGGAGGTAGCACGTTGGCAGGCTGGGCCACTACCCCCACACCCATCCCCCCGCCCGTGCAATAATGGTATTTAAGCACTATATTATCTACGGACTCTGTTGCAGAAACTGGACGTGTTTGTTTTTTTTGGGGGGGGGGCGAAGAGGACATGAGACTGTGAAGAAAAATCCGCAGCGTGATGTGTATATTTATTGCATGTTAAACGCGTAAAATGAAATGTCCCCCGTGAGCTCGACCGAACGCGCATTACTTGGCAGGGTCCGCCCCCCCCCCCACGCAATTGTCAGTTGGTACGGTCGATGTGACGCAATAAGTAAATAATTAAAATAAGATTGTCACAAATTTGTTAATTAAACTACTTTAAAGTTGAGGGATGCGAAAACGGAATAGCCTATTCCCACCCCGGGACTTAGGGCGTGCTGCCTGGCAATTTTTTTTTGGACGTCAAGCCCACCGTCCGAGAGCCAAATCCCTCGCAAGCGCGCGCGCGGAGACTTTTATATATAAGAAGATGTACTGTGGTGCCACAACAGCGAAGCCGCTCCGTCGAAACCGGGGCCGTCGTTGTGCTGCTGCGACCGAGAAGCCACCCGGCTCCCATCACAGCACTTCCCCCCCCCCCCCACCTAAACACACACGCACTCAAGTAGGGCCTCATGGGGAGGGGGGGGGCACCTGCCCTGAGTTTTTACCCGAGAGGCCCCCTCGTGGGGGTGCTCCACGGTTTCTCAGGGTCAGGGAATTGGCAGCCCGCCCCCCCCAGGCCAAATGGCACTGCGGTGCCGTGGCTTAACTTAGAATTAAATGACCACGGCGAACTCACTGAGAACCGCAGTGAGGAGATGCCCAGGACACACGCGGACCAGCAGACAGGTGGGGAGTGGGGCAGCGCGGGTTAAGCGTCTCTACCCATGGTGCACCGCGGGTTAGCGTCTCTACCCATGATGCACCGCGGATTAACGGCCCTACCCATGATGCACCGCGGATTAACGGCCTGACCCGTGATGCACCGCGGATGGGCAGTGCGAGGGCTTTGAAAGGAGCATAAAAAGGGACGCTTTGGGGAAGCACGGGGCCATTTTTATTTGACTGAAGATCAACAGGAGGGAGGGATTGAGGAGCCGTCACCTCACTGTTACTCGCACGTCCGTGAGACGGGGCAGAGAACAGCCAGATTCTGTTTACAGGATCATCTATCCGCGACCTCCATCGCTGCGAGGTCAGACCGTAAGTACGAGGGAGAGAGGTAAGACAAAGGGACGAAATTCGGAGAGAAAATAGAGGGCAGACAGGTCGATTAAGTATCAGGCAGTAGTGAGATAGGTTAGACCTGTCCTGCTGGTCCGTACTGACACGCACAGTCTAGTTCGTTTATTCGTGGGGAATAAACCGTCCGTAGGGTTTAAACCGTGTCGTGTTGTCTCTGTGAGTACAGAGGGGCGATGTGTGGTGTGGCGAGCCTGCCCGCGGTGATTCTTTTGTTTGCGCGTGAGTGAGTAATTTTACCTACGTGTTTACGTTCGCACGGGTGGTTCCACTCGGGGCTTGACGTACATGCCGGGGCAGCAGTAACGTGCTACTGCACGTTACGATCATTAAATGCACTAGTGCGTGGTGTGGTGAGCCTCTGCATCGAGTGGTGCTGGTTGCACTTCGCCCGCGCCAGTACGGGGGCGTGCAGGAGCAGCGGCGCTCACGGCACGCGCCGCGCGTGTAGTGCGTAGAGATAAATTGGTGAGCGGGTATTCCGCAGCGCAGCCTAATTAGTTGCTTCCGACCGGCTGCGATGGTAAATGAAACAAGATTACACAATTCAAGCACGAGATGCTGCTGGCGGTGGTTACCGCGTGAGTAGAGCTGCGCCGTGAGGTACACGGGTACCCACGGGCATAATCATACACCGGGTGTTGCAGTTGTGGTAGTTGTATGAATTTAATGGGGGAGCCGGGGGTCAACGGCCCCGACAATTCGGTGATAGCGGAGGACGGTAGCCCCCACAGTACACCAATGTGGGAATCAACTTAACATTTAAATATGCTATGTCAAATTAAATGTTGGTGCCTTATTACTTGTAACTTTCTTCAGGGGTTTTTTAATTTGCTTGTTAGTAGCTGCATATAGAATTTTGTCCCGCATATAGAATTAATGTATGGCATTGTGTGATGAAATTAGCATGAACGACGCTGTATCAGATGCAATTTTGTTTTATGTTTGTCGCATGACAGTCAGATACTTTAATTGCCAAAGTGGGAAATGTAGCCAAAACGAGTGCTGAAACAAATGTTGTTGCAGTCAACTCGGCATGTGTGAGAACCTGGTTGAATCACAACTCAGTCTATCGCTGAGTCTGCGGGGGGGGGGGGGGGGGGTCGCCATGTGAGACCGCGGGCCGTTGCACGAGAATGTTTGGCCTCTACACGCACGAGCCATTTGGTGACTCGGGCTCAGACTATCAACTCGCTTCCACTTGAGAACCCGGCCTCAACCACGGCACCCGCCTCGATTGGGACCCAGGTGCCCGGCGGCGCCGACTCACGGCTCCGTCTGACCAGAGGTGCGCGGCCGCCTCTGGCCAATGAAAATTCGCACGGAGTCACCATGTCCACCGATGGTTACAGTGTTCAGGGCGAGTGCTTCCAACCCATCGGGTTCAAATTCGGCGGCGTGTGTATAGCAGGTGCGGACAAGCTCGAGGCCAGGAGGCGGAACGCCATGCACGTGTGTGGCGATACGGAACGCAGCCTGATTCCAGCGTAATGTACACACGAGTCCGAGTACAGCCCTTTGCCACTCCACTGCTGGATGGCGGCCTCCACAAGGGGGTCACGGGGGGGGGGGGGCGTTATTTTACCGCACCTCACCACGCCCGCGGGTGGGTGAAGGAGGGGAGCGTACTACGTGGCAGAGCTGAAGTTGCAGAAAGACAAAACAACAACACTAGATGTTGTTGCATTGCCCTTTGCTGCCGCACTACGTAGCACTGCATCAGCAATCTATATATATGTGTGTGTAGCGCACTTGTCATCTGAGCCGCAGGCCCATCCAAAGCGCCGTCCAAGCTCTAAACCCCCCGACTTAGCTGTTGAGATGGGCGCGCAATTCCGTGCGGTGTGTGGCTACGAGGGCGTGCGCACGAGGAGGCGTGAGAAAGAAAAAAAAACAAGGCAGAGAGATCGTTGAGATTTCCTTCCGAGGAATTCACCGGGTCACCTCCGATTGGCACGGTTGGCTACGTCTGGTGCGAAGGAAGTTCAACGTACGTACAAATATATATCGGAGAGCCAATGGCCCTGCTTTGGTCTCTCTAGCGAGCCCTGGAGCAGTAAGCCGGAGTCAACCTCGTTCAAATTGCGCGCCGCTTTCTCCGTGTGACCCAGGCGAGCTGTCGCCGGGGGGATCGCGAGACTCCTCTCCATTTCAGGAGGGGGGGTCGCCCTGCCAGCCAAGTCTTTAATACGCAGTTGGCTGGGCCGGCCGTGCAAGTGATCGCCGCGGTTGTTTTTTGAAGTCGTCTTTTTAAGATGTTAAAACACCAAACAGAAACCTTTTGCAAGGAATGATGTCTGCAATAGGCACAGGTACGTGTGTCGAACATGCAAACAACAACAAAACATGATCGGAAATACATGTGGTCAATGCAGACATGATTCCTTGCAAAAGGTTTATGTTTGGTGTTTTAACATCTCAGCGCCTGTTTTATTGCCAGAAAGGGTAAATCCTATTCTTATATTTTGATTACTGGCAAGGGAGGTACCATGACATAAATAAATGCCCGGAGAAGCTTTTTTTGGCCGTTGTGAAACTTTGCTGACGAAAAAATAACCCCACCAAAACCAAAAAAACGATATTATGGATGGCATTGGTCGCGAAAGCCTACGTCTTAAACCAAAACACGAAAAACCTATATTATGGATGATATTGGTCGCGAAAGCCTACGTGTGAAACCAAAAATAAATAACTCTGACACCCACATTTTTTGCTGTTGTTAAGTTTTAATTACATGGAGGGGGAGGGGGGTGCGGCGAAAATTGCGACCCACTTTTATGACCACGGCGAAACGTTCCTAAGGTGACAGTAACGTTGTGCGTGTTGTGTGCGTGCGCGTTGTGTGTGCATGCGTGTTGCGGGGTGTGACGAACCGCTCCGTGAACCCTAACAAACACAGCACCACACACACAGCGCCCCTGACAAGCACAGGGGTGACGGAGGTGGCCAACGTCGTCAGCCACAGGGAGAGAGAGAGGGGGGCCCAATTCGCTCGTTTAGCGCCGTCTGAACGGTGCTCTCGGCTGGGACCGTGAGTCCAAGTCACCGTGACGACGTCGCCGTTCTCGGGAGAGCTTTGATACACCATAGCTGTCAACCCCTTATCAGTGTCCTACCTCAAAACAGACCAATTCAGAACGTATTGGGGTCACCTCGTGCCCCTTATAAATCTCAACGTTCATCCTACAAAGTCCCATCACAAGGAAGAAACACAAACAAATACACAAAAAAAGTTTTTGTTGCCCGTACTGAAATGGCTGTATGTCGTATGGACCTGAAAAATACATTTTCCATGCACAAAAATAGGGGGTTAAACTGCGTGGGTTGACACGGTTATCCCAAACAGTGCACTCCGCCACGGCGGCAACCTCTGCGCTCGCCTATTGTCGATCGCTGATCGCGATTTCCAAAAGGTCGCCGCTTCGATTCTCCTGGTGCAGCAGTTGAAACGACGGTGGAATTGTTCATGGATTCCCCCCCCCCCCGCTCGCTCTGTCCACCACCCCCGCAAAACAATTGGGGTTCACCATGGTTCGTCTATGATCGTCAGGTTGGGTGTGGCGGTGACGCAAGTGTGGGCACTTCCAGGCACGAATTAAGGTTCTTGCAGGCCCCTAAGAACTTGTGTTTCGTGGGCCTTCAGTGATGACTTTCTGCAGCCGGTACCGCTGCCCAGTGGGACCGCTTCCCCATGTTACCGCTGCCCCATGGGACCGCTGCCCCATGTTACCGCTGCCCCGTGGGACCGCTGCCCCGTGTTACCACTGTCCCGTGTTACTGCTGCCCCGTGTTAATGCTGCCGCCGCTGTCACTCACTTCATTGTGCGATGAACACCATTTGACGATGTCCTTGCCAAATTTGCGATGAAACAAAAATCTTGAAAAGTTCATCTTCGGTTGTTACATTGTTTATTCGCCTTATTGGAGAAGAAAAAATAATAACGATTGACATGACTACATCTTTGTATATACACCGGGCTCTATCCTTGATACGTAAATATATGTATTAAAGAAGATTTTGTTGGTTATATTTTGTATTCATACAAAAACATTGGGTAATTTTTTGCTTATTTTCGGAGGCCCTAGGCACAGTGCCCATGTGGTGCCACAGCAGCGAAGCCGCTCCGTCGGAGCCGTGCCTGCAACGCCGCCACCTCCGAGCGATGTGGCCGACGCTGCTCTTCCCTCACCACCCCCCACATGAACACACACGCACACACCCCCACATAGAGCCCCGAGGGGAGGTCACCTGGCCGACAGGTTTTCACCCAGAAGCCCTCTCATGGGACTAATCTTCACGGTTTCCTGCAGCCAGGGAATTGGGCGATCCCCCCCAAGGCTAACTCGCACCACGGCGCCGTGACTTGGGTGGTAATTACATGGTCACGACAGGGCTGCTCAGCCACCGCGGGTAGAGGGCACACACGCCACACACGGGTCTGCAGGCAGGTAGGGGTACAGAGCCACGAGCGGCGGGAAAACAGGGCCGGCCCTCTGATTGGTAGGACAAATGTGCTTGTGCACCAACGCAGCAGCCCCGCGGTCGTCCCTTTTGATGTAGAGGGTAAAATGCGGATGTCTGAGAGAGCGCCGGCCCGGGGAGAGTGGCGGGAAATCCGAGCCACCTGATTGGCCAGGAAGGCCAGCAGATCAGCGCTGAATATTCTTTGATGTAGAGAACAATAAAAAGGCGAGAGAAGGTATGGATAGGTAGTGGTGTTCTTCTCAAGTCAGGGATCGGAGTAGTCACCTTGCCGGCCACTGGATCGTCCGTGAGACGAGTCCCAGCGCAGCCAGGCACCGCTCCCGGCAAGACCTTTGTGCAGCTTCACCTCTCCATGGCTTCCCGCACATCCGAGCCGAACCGTGAGTACGCAAGAGAGAGTTGGGATTTAGTGTAAGATCCTAGGGAGTTTTATTCTAAGGGGACGAGATAGATCAGGTTTAGACCATCGGGAGATAGGTTAGACCTGCCCTGCGTGTAGCTCGTGGTTAGCGTGTGCGTGTGGTGAGCGGCGGCGGCGGCGGACTCGTACAGGGACACGTGAGATTACTCATTCGCCCTTTTGTTTAACGTGTACGTGAGGCAAACGTGCGGCGTACACGTGAGTTTGTTCATACAGCCCTTTAAATCATCTCCAAGACACCCCCTCCAATCGGCTATGCGTGTACGGGTGACGTCACTGCCCTTTGACCCCTGACCCCCTTCCCGCGCGTGCAATTGGTGCGCGGCGCCGGGAGGGTAGAGGCGTCGGATTTTTGGTGGCTGCGTGTACGCGACTGCGTGCGGGGAGCCTCCTACTAACGTTTGGAGAAGTGCACGCGGGGAGTGTGTATGTATGACCCGAGGTGGCCGAGAGCCAGCCAAGAGTCATGTCTCACAAGGGGGATGCGGAGGCAAAGAGGTCGAAGTTGCGAGCAGCATCAACGAGGAGGGGGGAAGAGGAGGAAGAAGGGAGTGAGGAGCCGGGGATCAGCCTCCCCGACACCCACTGTGGCCTATTAGATAATACTGCCCCAGGGACCACCCACCTCTTCTATGACGTCCTCAGCCAGCTGTGGAAGTGTCGGTCAAAATAACCCTCTGGAAGGGGGCTCTCAAGGCCTCTTTGGCCACCGTCAGTGGTGGAGATCCAGTAGTTGCAGGGCTGCGCCCACGGTAGCCGCGATTCGTGCTAAAGCGCCCAAAGACCCCCGGAGCTCGTAAAGATGTCCACGGGTTAATTATTTCGCGAGGCATTTTGCAACCAAAATCGAAAATCCCCCCACCCTCCTCCTGCCCCGGGGGGTTGAATAATGGCAACGGTTGCCAAACCATTTTCATTGCTCGTCGTCAAAACTTGAAGCTGCATTCGAATATATCAATTGGGCCACACCCCCCCCCCCACCCCCCGGCATTGTACCTGGGTCGTGTGCGTAGCGTGTGGTGTATTTAAAGGGTTTCACCTCTGCAAAGAGAGAACGAGACAGCGGTCAGCCGTCTTGTATCACTCAACGCTTTTGCCACTCCCTCGGGGCGAATTCCTTCGCTCTCTTCTCCTTTCTGCAAAGTGTCGGGCGACCGGCGCGAACAAAACGCATCGACGCGGACAGCGATGGCCACGATGTGAGTATACCGTGCCCAGGGACTGTTTGGTGCGGCCCTAGGGAGGCGCGTTCACACGTGGATTCGATTACAATAAAATCGCTCGCTGGAAGCGACGTACCTTTACTTTGCTTTCACGCGCAATTAGTAGTAGTAGGGCTTTTGCGACCAATAGTATCCATGATAAGGGGGTTTGTTTTTGCGGTTAGATCGCGTGAATATGAATTTGGTCGTTAAACTCGCCACCACGTAAACAAAACGTCGCCAACTCGTTACTGTATCAGCATTTACCGGTTGTGTGTTGGAGAGTAAACCCACGACATTTACTATTCGAGTACGACGTTTCGCCGATAATTATAAGCAGCTTCGTCAGGCTGTTTGTGTTTGGCTGTCGCCTGATGAGGCTGACTGTTGTTATTAAACAGGGAAACCTCACAGTACTCGAGTTGCAAATGTAGTGGGTTGACTCTCCAACACACAACCGGTTAGTGCTGAACTAGTAACTAATTGGGCACGTTTTTTGTTTATGTGACAAACCCTTCCAACTGGCTGTGTCAACTGGGGGTGGGTTTGAATACACATTTATACATACACAATCTAATCGTGCTACTCGAAGAATAGGTAAATCGGTGCGTGAGTGACTAAGTGGGTCGGTGAGTGACTATGTGAATCTATATGTTTATGTTAAACTTCTGTTGCACTGTACGTATCCAACCGCGCTTTGCTTTGTTAGCTGTTCCTGGGAATCCCACTCAGGTCTCAAAAATAATAAAATGTTTTACCCTTTCTGGCAATAAAACAGGAGTTGTGTTCAGATCTTGATTTGAAGCTTTCGACTGCAGGAATCCATAAATGGTTGTTTCCATCGTACCTGCCGGTCTACTAGCACCTTTTTTTCTGTTTCCACCCCCCCCCCCCCCATGTCCACACTCAGCTTCCCACTTCTATACACTACCATATATAGCAGGCGTTACTAAGAAGATTTCCAAAATTCGAAACAAACACAAGATCCAGGTCCGGTTCAATACAGTACACAAAATTCGTGATCTGGTCCCATCCGTGAAGGATGTCATTCCTGACTTACAGTACCCCGGGGTTTACAAATTGAGTTGTACCTGTGGTGATTGCAATATCGGGGAGACGAAGCGACATGTCTCTGACCGAATTCGCGAGCACAAATCAGATTTGAAACACGGCAGAACGAATTCTTCTGCCGTAGCTGATCACTGTTACAACGCTGTGGGTGATCACGATATAATTTTCTCCGATACCAAAGTTCTTTGCAAACCCACGGGTTTTTATTAGATATTTGTTCACGAGGCAATTCAGATTTACAAACACAGACACAATTTCAACCGAGAAGATGGTTTCAAATTAAGCAACCATTGGAAAGATGTTCTAAATTGAACCAAACATTAAACTAATTTTCAATGGTACAGTATATTTTTTCAAGTAGTGGTACTCCAAACTTTCGCAGCTTCTTAAAATTCCCTTTTCACACCATCAATATGGAAACTCCCACTCCCCCCCTCGCTGGCCTGCACATGTTCACCCCCTCTACACCATTCATCATGCTAAGTCCGACAATTAAATGCTAATTTTTATGCTAATTCATTTGTCAAGGCACCTTAATTCCTCTCACACAGCTTAAAGGTCGCGGTCTGAGCTTGGCTGTGTTCACTCCAGCGCTGTCCTCGAGACAGTCTGGTCCTTTCACCTGATGAAGGCCACTTGTGTTGTGGCCGAAACGTCGTGATTTTTGTTGTTTTATTTTTTACCTACGTGACTTTACCGAATAGAACCAAAGAGTATGGATCCTTGCAGTCACGAAAGCTTCAAATCTAGAAGTCTGCATTAACCACACGTAATTATGGTGAACACGCAAACAAACATGGTCTGATGATAATCTTCTTTGGTTCTTTCGGTAAAGTCACGTTGAATGAGAATAAAATAATAAATTGATAAAATAAAATAACACAATAATATTCTCACGACGTTTCGGCCACAACACAAGCGGCCTTCATCAGGTGAAGGGGCGAGACTGTCTGGTAGGACAGCGCTGGAGTGAAAGAGCCACGTTCAGATCACGGCCTTTAAGCTGTGTGAGAGGAACAAAGCGCCTTAGAGTCGCGGCATCTCTTCAGAAAGGTGAGAGACTCGATTAGTTGAGCTTTCTTATCCCGAAGTCTGTTGAATGATCTTAAGGATGTGTGGAATCCCTCCCCGTAGAGGCGGTTAAATTTCGATTTAAAGCTTTCGTGACTGCAATGATTCATCTTCTTTGGTTCTTTCGGTAAAGTCACGTAGAATGAGAATAAAATAATAAATTGATAAAATAAAATAACACAATAATATTCTCACGACGTTTCGGCCACAACACAAGCGGCCTTCATCAGGTGAAGGGGCGCTGACCTACCAGACAGTCTCGCCCCTTCACCTGATGAAGGCCGCTTGTGTTGTGGCCGAAACGTCGTGAGAATATTATTGTTATTTTATTTTATCAATTTATTATTTTATTCTCATTCTACGTGACTTTACCGAAAGAACCAAAGAAGATGAATCATTGCAGTCACGAAAGCTTTAAATCGAAATTTAACCGCCTCTACGGGGAGGGATTCCACACATCCTTAAGATCATTCAACAGACTTCGGGATAAGAAAGCTCAACTAATCGAGTCTCTCACCTTTCTGAAGAGATGCCACGATTCTAAGGCGCTTTGTTCCTCTCACACAACTTAAAGGCCGTGATCTGAACGTGGCTCTTTCACTCCAGCGCTGTCCTACCAGACAGTCTCGCCCCTTCACCTGATGAAGGCTGCTTGTGTTGTGGCCGAAACGTCGTGAGAATATTATTGTGTTATTTTATTTTATCAATTTATTATTTTATTCTCATTCTACGTGACTTTACCGAAAGAACCAAAGAAGATGAATCATTGCAGTCACGAAAGCTTTAAATCGAAATCTGATGATAATGTTTTGTATTCCAATAGGCGAACAGTGCAAAGGCAATATACTATTAGGGCATTTATAGCTCGGGGTGGAGCAGCGATATCATGGGATACCTCTTTTGCCATTATCAAAGTATGAGAAATACGAAGGTAGTCACGTAGATTGAAAATAAATAAAAGATAATAAAATAAATAGAAATGTAAAATAAATTGAAAATAATAAAGCAAAAAACCACGACGTTTCGATCGCAACACAAGCGGTCTTCATCAGGTGGAGAGAAGAGAGGGAGCAAGCCTCCAAATGCAACTGCTTATAAGGGCTTTCAAAGTGCATTGGCGGGCAGCCAGCACAAATGTCGGAGACAATGGGGGGAGGGAGGAGGCAGAGACAGAGGGAGAAGGGGGGGGGGTAGAGATAGGGGGAGAGAGAGGGGGTACAAGTAGTGCGTTAGACAATGGAGGGAGGGAAAGGGCAGAGACAGGGGGAGAGAGAGGGGGGATAGAGGTGGAGCTGAAGGCGCAGTTTAAGTGTTAGACAATAGGGGGAGGAAGAGGGTAGAGAGAGGGGGGGTCGAAACGTTGTGGTTTTTTGCTTTTATCATTTTCAATTTATAATTTTTATTTTATTTAATTGTATTATCTTTTATTTAGTTTTCTATCTACGTGACTTTACCGAAAGAACCAAGAATATTAATTTCTGCAGTCATGAAAGTTTTAAGTCAAGAAGGTATATTCCCTTTTTGACAATAAAATAGGTGTTAAGATGCTCAGGTCGCCGGGTTCGTAGCGCGTCAAAGTAACTGTTGCGCCACCGTTCTCCCCACCACAGACCGGCTGTACGGTACGCGACTCCGCACACTCGCCAGCACGTGGCCCTGGACAAAAAGATCATACGAGAGGCTTGTTTTATATTGGGTGCGATCGTGAACAACAGCCATGTCAGACATGAGTGCATCTAATCGGCATAATCATTGGTTCACTACGGCTCAAATACTCGGTCCCAACAAGGCGTGTGGCGAAGTTAGGAAATGCTCCGTGTGTGCGCTCGGCTTTTGAAGGTCTGAAGACCAGAATCGGTGACTTCGCCAACAATGTGTTTATAAGGGAGGCAGTTCCATGTCTGGACAGCAGAGTGGAGAAGGTAGGTTATTTCTAGATTTAAAGCTTTCGTGACTGCAAGGATCCATACTCTTTGGTTCTATTCGGTAAAGTCACGTAGGTAAATAATAAAACAACAATAATCACGACGTTTCGGCCACAACACAAGCGGCCCTTCATCAGGTGAAGGGACGAGCCTGTCTGGAGGACAGCGCTGGAGTGGAAGAAGCCACGCTTAGATCACGACATTTAAGCTGTGTGAGAAGAAGAAGAAGACCACGGGCTTTGACAAAGGAATTAGCATATAAATTAGCATTGAAATGGCTCATTGAAATAGCTAAGTTAAAGTATACACATCCGCAGAGGTGCCCCTTGACAAAGGAAATTAGCATAGAATTTAGCATTTAAATAGTTTAGTGATTAGCTAGTAACTGGTCACAGAAATAGCTATGTTAAAGTCAGAGTATATACATTCACCGAGGCACCTAGTACTCATCAAACAGGAGAATTTAGCGAAACACAACCACGCTCAGACATCGGACCTGTGTGCGAGCAAAGAGGTGGTGTACGTGCCGGTGGACTTGCAGTTTGGCGAGGGGGGGGGGGGAAAGGAGGGAGGGGGATTTTACCCATTGATGGTGTGAAAATGGGAATTTATAAGAGCTGCGAAAGTTTGGGGTACCACTACTCGAAAAATATACTGTACCATTGAAATTAGTTTAATGTTTAGTTCGATTTAGAACATCTTTCCAAAGGTTGCTTAATTTGAAACCATCCTCTCGGTTGAAATTGTGTCTGTGTTTGTAGATCTGAATTGCTTCATGAACAAATCTCTGATAAAAGCCCGTGGGTTTGCAAAGAACCTTGGTATCGGAAACAATTATATCGTGATCCCCCACAGCGTTGTATCAGTGATCAGCTAAAAACCAACAAGATCATCACAAGTTCGACCTCCCTAATCGACCCAACTAAACGTCCCTCCCTAAAACCTTCTGCTGCAAGACCCCCTAGATTCTATGGTCTTCCCAAGATTCATAAAGAAGGCACCCCACTACGACCCATCGTATCCACGATCAACTCCCCTACCTATAGACTAGCCCGTTTTCTGTCAGATACCTTGCTGCCTTTCACTGGCAAGACCACCTCAGCAGTACTTAACTCAGCCCAATTGGTCTCTATGGTCAAAGACGTTGTACTGTCCCCTGACGATATCCTTGTCAGCTTCGATGTGGTCTCTTTGTTCACCAAGGTCCCAGTACCTGATACCATTGAAATAATTGAAAATTTGGTCCAACATGGACTAGACCCCGACACACCTGCACTGGTTAGGCACTGCCTCAACAATACCTACTTTACTTGGAATGGCTCCTTCTACAAACAAAATGAGGGTACCCCCATGGGTTCCCCCTTGTCACCAGTGATAGCCAATATTTTCTTGGAGAAATTTGAATCAGACGCCATCCAGACTTCCACCCTCAGACCTTCCCTGTGGAAGAGATATGTGGATGACACTTTCGTCATTTGGCCACATGGCCTCCCAGCTCTGAACCTTTTCCTACACCACATCAATTCCAGACATCCCGCCATCAAATTCACCATGGAAGTGGAGAAAGATGGCAAGCTACCATTCTTAGACGTTCTGTTTGAGAGGAGACCTGATGGCTCATTGGGGCATTCTGTCTACAGGAAACCCACCCACACAGATTCCTACTTGAAACCTGATTCCCACCACCACCCAGCCCAAAATAATTCTCTCATCAAAACTTTATACCATAGGGCTCATTGCATTTCGGACCAACACCACCTGACCAGTGAATTAAAACATGTACACCTGGCCCTCAAAAGGAATGGTTACTCTGACCGTACCATCCGCCAAGCGGTCTCTCCTTCCATACAGAAACAACCACTTGATACTCCGGTCAAAACCATCACACTTCCATATATAGCAGGCGTTACTAAAAAGATTTCCAAAATTCTAAACAAACACAAGATCCAGGTCCGGTTCAATACAGTACACAAAATTTGTGATCTGATCCCATCCGTGAAGGATGTCATTCCTGATTTACAGTACCCCGGGGTTTACAAATTGAGTTGTACCTGCGGTTATTGCTACATCGGTGAGACAAAGCGACATGTCTCTGACCGAATTCGCGAGCACAAATCAGATTTGAAACACGGCAAAACGAATTCTTCTGCCGTAGCTGATCACTGTTACAACGCTGTGGGGGATCACGATATAATTTTTTCCGATACCAAGGTTCTTTGCAAACCCACGGGCTTTTATCAGAGATTTGTTCATGAAGCAATTCAGATCTACAAACACAGACACAATTTCAACCGAGAGGATGGTTTCAAATTAAGCAACCATTGGAAAGATGTTCTAAATCGAACTAAACATTAAACTAATTTCAATGGTACAGTATATTTTTCGAGTAGTGGTACCCCAAACTTTCGCAGCTCTTATAAATTCCCATTTTCACACCATCAATGGGTAAAATCCCCTTCCCCCCCCCCCCCCTCGCCAAACTGCAAGTCCACCGGCACGTACACCACCTCTTTGCTCGCACACAGGTCCGATGTCTGAGCGTGGTTGTGTTTCGCTAAATTCTCCTGTTTGATGAGTACTAGGTGCCTCGGTGAATGTATATACTCTGACTTTAACATAGCTATTTCTGTGACCAGTTACTAGCTAATCACTAAACTATTTAAATGCTAAATTCTATGCTAATTTCCTTTGTCAAGGGGCACCTCTGCGGATGTGTATACTTTAACTTAGCTATTTCAATGAGCCATTTCAATGCTAATTTATATGCTAATTCCTTTGTCAAAGCCCGTGGTCTTCTTCTTCTTCTCACACAGCTTAAATGTCGTGATCTAAGCGTGGCTTCTTCCACTCCAGCGCTGTCCTCCAGACAGGCTCGTCCCTTCACCTGATGAAGGCCGCTTGTGTTGTGGCCGAAACGTCGTGATTATTGTTGTTTTATTATTTACCTACGTGACTTTACCGAATAGAACCAAAGAGTAAGGTAGGTTATGTCCCAGGGAGAAATATTTTGGTAGCTTGGGGGGGGCAAGTGCGCGGCCTGGCAGGGCTTGTTCATTATAGGGTGGCACGGCGCCTGTCATATGTGGATAATAGCCACTGGCAATTAGCCCAGCCAGACCCGGCTGAAAACGAAACGTGATTTGTGAGTAATTCGATCATCGTAGCTCCCATCACAATTTGTCAAACTCTTACAATTACACGCCTTCGCGTCCACAAGATGCGCGATCTTATCAACACATCTGAGAAGCTAAGCAGGCTTTGAGCCTGGACTGTGCTCGAAAGGGCGCGAGCACAGCGCAGTGAACAAGCGCGGTGAAGCACGTTGGGAAATTGAACCGGTAATCAGGAGCGCAATCGAACCGTTCATCGCTCGAGTATTGGGCGTGTGCGTCCAAGCCCCGACTAGCAGGCTCCACTCTACTTGTGCATCTCCGTACGCCCCCGGGCTGCAGGAGCTCGGTGCCGCTGGTGGTGGTGGCTGCGCATACGATGCTGCTGCTGCTGACGATAACGCTGGTGATCGTGCCGGTCAGAGGGGATGATGCTGACTGGATGTCCGAACATCCCGAGATGGACACCAGCCAAGAGTCTGTCCAGCAGAGCATTGTAGACCAGCACAACGCCATCCGCTGCAACGTCACGCCTCCGGCCAGAAACATGCTCAAGATGGTGAGCACCTTATACGACATGCGTTCGGGAGGCTGGACGCGATGGTTGGGGGCAGCCACCAACCGGTGTGTGGGGCCCGCCATGACAGATGATTGTTGATAATTACAGGATGCTTAACAAAAAATTAACACTTATATGGGGACTTTCGTTTTTAAGGAAAAAATAACGAATAATACACTGTGGCATGATAACAAATGTGTGTTAACAGCTTTAAAAAGTCCAAGAGTCTCCACTTGTTCGCCATCATTGTCAACGCGTGCCTGGAATCTTCTCCAGGTGGTCTCCAGAGCCCTGAGGAGGCACATTTCTTTACGGTGTTGTTGAAGATTCTCAGAAGTGTTACAAAAAATATAAGCACCCTGTACAATCCCCTCGACAGAGGAACGAACCCGGGGGGGGGGGGGGGGTGCCACGACACCGTAGATCGGTGCGGGCCGCCTCTGGGCCCCGTAGATGAGGTCACGTGGATGAGGTCATGTGCACACTGTGACCTCACTGGGACCCCCTCTCCATTAGATTCCTCGTGCAAGGTGCGGGGCAGGGGACTCCGATCGCGGTCTCATGCCGCTAAACAAAAACGAATTTTGACTTGGCGTACCCACATACGTGTGTGTGGACATTTAACTTATTTCCTATTGTACGTAGCCAACCGTGCTAATCGGTGAATGGTTGATTGTGTGGGTGAGTGACTATGTGAGTGGGTGAATGACTATGCGAGTAGGTAAGTGTCTGTATGAGTGGGTGAGTGACTCTGTGAGTGGGTGACTATGTGAGTGGGTCACGTCCACACTATGACCTCACTCGGGCCCCCTCTCTTTCAGGTCCCTCGTGCAAGGTGGGGATGGGGGGGACTCTGATCCCGGTCTCTCGCGGCTAAACAAGGCTATTTCTGAGGGGGGTTCTGCTAAGGTTTTTTTCGCAGGAGCAGGCGGTGTGGGGGTGGAGGGAGCGAACTTTTGGCCGTGCTTTTATCAAATGACGTAAATTTGCGGTGTTATTTTTTGTTGTTACGTTTGGCAGATTTGTGACAACGACGGTGGCACGCAATGCCCCCCCCCACTCTTCCTCGGTTGACGTCACCGGGGTCTTTTTTGTTATCATTACTTTTATTGTTGTAACAACATGTTGCGCATGCGTAGTGGGGAGCGGTGGTGTAGCGGTTAGCGCGTTGCGCTACGAACCAGGCTACACGAGTTCGATTCCCGCTCATGGCCAACGAACCGGTTGTGGGCCTCACCTAGGTCGACTCAGCTTCAGATGATTACCTGGTGCGGTGCATAAACATCGCCACTCGGGAGACAAAGGCGGCTGAGCCTGGTGCTTGCCACTCACACCCTCGTTTGCCATTCCGACTAGCTAATAGCACTTGTCCCAACAGTCTGTTAAGGCTATTCGGTGGATCTTTGCCTTTGTCTTGCATGTGTGGTGAATGCACACACGGCAGTATTGAACGGGGCAGTGTGCCGGATTCAGACCACGCAATGGGAGGCTGAGCGCGTCGCCCCGAGCGGACTCGCCATGACAGGCCCCGACCTCCCCCCCCCACTCTCCCTTTCCGATGCATTGCAGGTATGGAACAGCGACTGGGAAGAGAGCAGTCGGAAGTGGATCAACAATTGCTCTTTTACCCACCGGACCGAAAAAGAGCTCAAGCATCATGGTAACAACCCAATTCTAGGGGGGTCGTTGCAAAGACACACTCTTTTAAGAATACGACGTGATATTAGTTTTGAACGACGTGACGAATAATATTTTTTCCTCCCCTGGCAACGTGAGTGGTGCGACCACACAGTTCCAATTACACCTCGCCTCGCCAGTTGTGCAACCACGTGGTTCCAATTACACCTCGCGTCGTGAGTTGTGCAACCACGCGGTTACAATTACACCTCGCATTTACCATGCTCTCGACGCCACTTCCTGAGTACCGTTCCGACCAAACGATCGCTCCGGCCGTTTTCAAACCTGAAATGCTCTCGAGGTGGAGCCCCCTCCCCGCCCCCCGGGGCCACAACGGGGGGGGGGGTGCTCGGAAGGCACGAAGCAACGACGTCCACGTGGTTCAATGGGCAACCTTTGTTTTTTTTCAGTGCGTTGCTCGTTCTCGTCAATGTTAATTTGATCATAACAGAGTTTTTTTATTGTTTGTATAGAGTTTTTTTGTTTGGTTAAATCGCGTAAACATGTACATGTGGTCGTTAAACCCACTACCACCACCACCTGACACGTCTGATTAATACGGTTTGTCACATAAAGAAAACGTCCCCAATTAGTTACTTAATTCGAGCACCGTGATGTATTGCTGGTCATTACAACAAAAACAACAAGCCTCATCTGGCGTTTTGTCAGGAAATGTAACGTTTAGGAAGAACTTAACATTTTCACAATAATAATGATAATACACTCACGCTAGAGGAAGCGTGCGAGCAAAATGATCAAGTGGCTGCTGCACCTACAGTGAGGGAAAAAAAGTATTTGATCCCCTGCTGATTTTGTACGTTTGCCCACTGACAAAGAAATGATCAGTCTAGAATTTTAATGGTAGATTTATTTGAACAGTGAGAGACAGAATAACAAGAAAATCCAGAAAAACGCATGTGAAAAATGTTTTAAATTGATTTGCATTTTAATGAGGGAAACAAGTATTTGACCCCCTCTCAATCAGAAAGATTTCTGGCTCCCAGGTGTCTTTTATACAGGTAACGAGCTGAGAGTAGGAGCACACTCTTAAAGGGAGTGCTCCTAATCTCAGCTTGTTACCTGTATAAAAGACACCTGTCCACCAAAGCAATCAATCAATCAGATTCCAAACTCTCCTCCATGGCCAAGACCAAAGAGCTATCCAAGGATGTCAGGGACAAGATTGTAGACCTACACAAGGCTGAAATGGGCTACAAGACCATTGCCAAGCCGCTTGGTGAGAAGGTGACAACAGTTGGTGCGATTATTCGAAAATGGAAGAAACACAAAAGAACTGTCAATCTCCCTCGACCTGGGGCTCCATGCAAGATCTCACCTCGTGGAGTTGCAATGATCATGAGAACGGTGAGGAATCAGCCCAGAACTACACAGGAGGATCTTGTCAGTGATCTCAAGGCAGCTGGGAACATAGTCACCAAGAAAACAATTGGTAACACACTACGCCGTGAAGGACTGAAATCCTGCAGCGCCCGCAAGGTCCCCCTGCTCAACAAAGCACATTTACACGCCCGTATGAAGTTTGCCAATGAACATCTGAATGATTCAGAGGACAACTGGGTGAAAGTTGTTGTGGTCAGATGAGACCAAAATTGAGCTCTTTGGCATCAACTCAACTCGCCGTGTTTGGAGGAGGAGGAATGCTGTCTATGACCCCAAGAACACCATCCCCACCGTCAAACATGGAGGTGGAAACATTATGCTTTAGGGGTTTTTTTCTGCTAAGTCGACAGGAGAGCTTCAACGCATCAAAGGGACAATGGACGGGGCCATGTACCGTCAAATCTTGGGTGAGAACCTCCTTCCCTCAGCCAGGGCATTGAAAATGGGTCGTGGATGGGTATTCCAGCATGACAATGACCCAAAACACACAACCAAGGCAACAAAGTAGTGGCTCAAGAAGAAGCACATTAAGGTCCTGGAGTGGCCTAGCCAGTCTCCAGACCTTAATCCCATAGAAAATCTGTGGAGGGAGCTGAAGGTTCGAGTGCCAAACGTCAGCCTCAAAACCTTAATGACTTGGAGAAGATCTGCAAAGAGGAGTGGAACAAAATCCCTCCTGAGATGTGTGCAAACCTGATGGCCAACTACAAGAAACGTCTGACCTCTGTGATTGCCAACAAGGGTTTTGTCACCAACTACTAAGTCATGTTTTGCAGAGGGGTCAAATACTTATTTCCCTCGTTAAAATGCAAATCAATTTCTAACCTTTTTCACATGCGTTTTTCTAGATTTTTTTGTTGTTATTCTGTCTCTCACTGTTCAAATAAACCTACCATTAAAATTATAGACTGATCATTTTTTTGTCAGTGGGCAAACGTACAAAATCAGCAGGGGATCAAATACTTTTTTCCCTCACTGTATAACCCGTTCCATATAATCGTGGCGTACGGTTGCTGGGCAGCAGCAGCAAGTGGGAGGCATCGCGGCAAAATTATTTGTCGTAGCGTACTTCTATGCTGTGGCATCCTTCACCAACCCCGCAACTACCAGTAGAGAAGTACGGTCAATTAACCGGACCCACCCTCCCCGACGCGGGGTGGGGGGGGGGGTGTCACATACCTGTCAACCCCTTATCAGTGCCCCACCTTATAACAGACCAATTCAGACCTGATTGGTCATCAGGTGCCCCTGATAAATCTCAACGTTCATCCGACAACGTCCCATCACCAGGAGAGAAACACAAACAAATGGACAAAAACATTTTTGTTGTTGCCCGTATTGAAACGGCTGTACGCCGGATGGACCTGAAAACGCAATACCCCTGTCCAAGAATAAGCGGTAAACCATATGGCTTGACACGGCATGCCATCTTCCAGCAGCAGAGCGATAGGGTGGCCGTTTGCACATGCACCGGGCGGTGGTTAGACGCTCTCTCGCTTACCTCCCAAGGGTGGCAGTGCGGAGAGAACATCTTCATGTCCCCGACGGCCAGGCTGTGGGAAGACGCGCTCCATGAGTGGGAGCTCGAATCCGAGAAGCCGGGATTTGAGTTTGGGTTCGGAGCGCTGGGTCCGGGCATGGTGGGACATTACACGCAGGTAATGGTGGACATGCAGACGAATGTGGCCGGATTTATATTCCCCCCCTCGCTGCTTCCCGCCGTGGCATTTGTACCCCCCCCCCATCCCGTCACCTCGGCTATCTAATCTTACCTTCGCGCAATTTATATAGCGCCTTAAGCGAGGCGCTGCATGGAGAATTGAGAAGAGTACAAGAACAATGACGCGCATGTGTGTGTGTGACTGTTATGGGTGGAGGTGAGGCGAATGAAATAGATGAGAGGAGGCAAGGGTGGGGAGGGGGGGGACGATTCTGTGGATGATGATTTTCATGGATGAGGTGAATACGAAATTGATGATCGCAAATTATGATAACGAATGGATTAAATGAATGAATGGATTGAAAGAATGGGGGTGAATGAGTGATGGCGATGCAATGAGAACAATAATTACTGAGAATGATAATTTTGAATTATAATAATTACTAATTGTTATTCTCATTGCATGGCCATCACTCATTCACCCCTATTCATTCAATCCATCCACACTATTATTATTCTGAATAGTCGACCTAGGGGAGGCCCAGAACCGATTAAATTATGGTGTTGGTGGCCGTGGGTGGGAATTGAACTCGGGTCACTGGGCTAGTAGCTCGGTGCGCTAACCACTACACTACCACTCCCCACTACCGCTCCTCCCCTTGTCGCACACACACACACAAAGGCTCAGCCCAAAACTTTTTGTGTCTTTCACGCAGCTCGTTTGGTACCAATCATTCGAGGTCGGGTGCGCGGTCAACTACTGCCCCAGCGGCGAGCCATACAAATACTTCTACCTGTGCACCTACTGCCCAGGGTAAGGTACACGCCTGCTCACCACGCTCGCTCATAGCCACGCACGGCCGCGGCTCGGTCATGCCCAACGCGATGGCCCGCGTCTCTTCGCACCCCGATCGTCCTTTCCACGGCTCGCTGTCGTGTTTTCGAAGAGGTGGGGGAGGGGAAGAGGGAGGGGGTGGCTCACTGAAACGTCGGACCTCGTGCCGGAGGACAACGCGTGGGGGGGAGGCGAGCGGTGCCACCGCGGTGAGCCCACCCCCCCTTCGGGGGGAGGTGTAAGTAATGTCCCACTACACCCCGCTGCTGTTTGCAGGGGGAACCTCAAGAACCGGCTGAAGCGGCCGTACGACAAGGGGGCGCCCTGCGAAGCCTGCCCTGACCACTGTGACGACGGCCTCTGCAGTAAGCGCCACGTCGCCCAAACATCACGTGATGTGATCCCTCCTGCTTTTGAGCCCCCTCCCCCTCTGATACCCCCTCCCCCCTCTGACCCCCTCCCCCCTCTGATTTCTCTCCCTCTGATCCCCCTCCCTCCTCTGATCCTCCTCCTCGACGACATGGGTGGAACCATCAACCCTATCATCAGAACATCATCACCAGGCCGATGCTGCACCATGTCTTCTCCAAAAATAGAACGTTAAAGACACAGCAGTGCGATTGCGGCCATGCAACCCAACACTGTGAACCGTACCCATAGAGTAAACCCATAGAGACATGTGGTGATTCAGAAATACTCGCAGAGATACCCAGAGACCCATAGTGATACACTGAATATAAGCCCCAGTGTGATTGTAGCCATGCAATCCAACACTATGGACGATAGAGTAAACCCAATGTAGTCTGCACTCATTCCACGGAAGAGGGGGAACAACAGCACCACACGAACGAACTCTCCCTCTTTCTACTGAAGCCCCTTCTGGTCGTGGCCAGAGGCAGACCTCGACATTGGCACCGAGCTCCTGAATGGCATTGCTACTGCTGCCCATCACAAAGTAGAGAACCGTGCGCCAACGGCAGTGACCCCATCGTTTTGTTTGCTTTTCGGCGACATGCGCAAAGTCCAACGTACGTACGATGTACATTCTCGAGGACAGCTCTAGAGAGCCCCTCTAGAGGGTAATTTTGGCCTACTCTTCTACGCTGGCCAGACCTCTGGGAAGAGGTGGGAGTACCCACATATTACCCCACCACCACCACACGTCCTACTGCCGCGACTCGCTGTGTAGTGAACCCATTTATATTACTGCTGGGTGGACACGGAGGGCTGAAATATATATTTTTATAACACGTGTATGTACGTGCACGTCACCGGAAACAGAGCTGGAAGATAAACTCATGATGACGTAGACATAACCACAAAAAAGCTAAAATAAAATTACTTCATCGGTACCGAAGCTAAAACAAAGGCCATGCGGGAGGGCGTGTGGCACAGTTTAACACCGGCTTTCGTAGAGTGGCGGCGGTCGTGTCGCTATGGTTCTCTGCGGTGAGTAACGACGTCTTAAAAACAACGGTGCTGCTGCTGCTACTAAATAAAATTTAATGCTGAACTGCTCATAGCATTCCGAGATTCAGTGGCGAATGGGACGTGCCACCACCCTGCAAACTTGCGGACGTCTCCGAACGGGAAATGGTGTGAACATCGTTTGTGCGTGCAGCTTGATTGAAACAACCGATTTAACTCACGAACAGGTTTCACCATCTTGACCTTGCTCCTCTCCCCCACCCCTTCTCTCCCTGCCAACAGCTAACCCCTGCTTGGTGCCCAATAACTTCGAGAACTGCAATGCCATGAGGAACAAGTACGGATGTGGCGACGACAAAATGGGCATGATGGTTCGGATGAATGTGGCGCTACGTGCACGTGCTCGGACAAAATTTACTAAGGGCTCTCGCGTCTCACTGGGGGCAATCTCCACCAGCAATCCTCACCAGCAACCTCACTCACCGGCAATCATCGCCGGAATTCCTTGCCGGCAATCATCGCCGGCAATCATCAGCGGCAATCATCACTGGCAATCTCGATCGCTGGCAATCATGGCCGGCAATCCTCGCCGACAAACTCAATCACCGGCAATTATCGCCAGCAATCATCACCGGCAATCATCACTGGCAATTTCACCAGCACTCTCACTGGCATTCTCACTGGCAATCACCACCAGCACTCTCATCGGAAATCTCACCTACATTCTCACCGGCAATCTCACTGGCAACCATTACTGGCACTCTCACCAGCAATCTCCCGACAAACGTTCACCTTGCCACACAACAGAAGTTTGCGTGACCGACCAAGTGAATGAATTAGTGACCAACTGAGTCAGTGACCGATTGGACCGCATGAGGGAAACAAACATTTAGTCCACTCCATCGGCCGCCCCCAAGTAACCCCTCTGGGCCGCCAATGGTTCGAAGCGGCATTGCCGCTGGTCAGGATTGCTGTGGACACTGCTCCAGAGGATCATGGGCTGGAGAGGCCCCCCCCCCTCCCCCCCGCTTTTACAGATGGAGTTGGTGGTGCCATGGTGGGCCCGGGTACAGGGTGGTTGCTTGACGATTCTCTCGTAGTCTCATAGTAGTCTCCTCATAGTAGTCTCCTCATAGTAGTCTCCTCATAGTAGTCTCATAGGAGTCTCCTCATAGTAGCCTCCTAAATGGTAGTCTCCTCATAGTAGTCTCCTCATAGTAATCTCATAGGAGTCTCCTCATAGTAGCCTCCTAAATGGTAGTCTCATAGTAGTCTCATAGAAGTATCTTCATAGTAGTCTCCTGATAGTAGTCTCATAGTAGTTTCATAGTAGTCTCATAGTAGTATCCTCATAGGAATCTCATCATAGTAGTCTCCTCATAGTAGTCTCCTAAATAGTGTTCTTCTCATAGTAGTCTCTTCATAGAAATTTCATCATAGTATTCTCCTCATGGTAGTCTCATATTAGTTTCATAGTAGTCTCCTCATAGTAGTCTCATAGGAGTCTCCTCATAGTAGCCTCCTAAATGGTAGTCTCCTCATACTAGTCTCCTCATAGTAGTCTCTTGGGTGTATACGGGTTAAGATTAAAGGTGCAGGCCCCGCACACTGCTTGCTAACGCCACTGATTAAGGGAAAAGGGGTGGGCCCTTCCCGGAGGGGGGCATTCCCAGACACGATGGGTGCGAGTTTCTTAAAAAAACAATGATCTCCCAGCCCTCGGTGTCCACCCAGCAATAGTAAAACTGGGTTCACACACACAGTGAGTAGGGGCAAGTAGGTCGTGTGGTGGTGATGGATGAAGACGTCCGGCCAGCGTGGAAGAGTTGGCCAAAAAAAAAAACTGTCTAGATTGCCACTTGAGAGCTAAGCTTCGAGTATGCACGCACATACGTACGTTGGACTTCTTTCGCAGCATACATAGCCAACCGCGCTAATCGCGGAGGTCAGCGGCGGCATGAGCGACCCGTTGCATGCAAGGGGTGCACCTGTACCTTGACTTACTTTGACAATGGTGGGTGGCAGGGGTGGGTTAGTAGCTTTTTTGTGCGTTTCAGAATGTGATGGGGGGTCCATTTAAGTTTCAATGTCGACACTTGTAACCTGTTTGAAATATTCGGACAACCCAAAAATATAAATATATACAGAGTGCTTAAAGGAAATGTTAACACTTCTGAAAATGTGCAACAAATGTTCCTCTGGGCTCTGGAGACTACCTGCAGAAGATTCCAGGCACATGTTGACAATGATGGCGAACAAGTGGAGACTCTTTGACTTTTTTAAACTGTTAGCATACATTTGTTATCATATTACAGTGTATTTCCATTAAAAACGACAGTTCCATGTAGGTGTTACATTTTTTTTAAAGCACCCTGCATATTTGGCGAATACAGCGGGGTCCGAAGCATCAGGTGCATATCACTGCTGACGTTGCCGGGTACAACTCATGTGTTGTGGTGTAGCGAGTGGACTCCACTCAGCTACCACCACCCGCCCCCCCCACCACCACTGGACATCGCTGAGGCGTGGCTCAAGCTGTTAAACAAACAAATTAGCACTGCTGCTCCTTTACAAGAAGCCCAAGGGAGGAAGAAGAACATTCATTGGTGTGTGAATCAGACATCAGACCCCAGGGTGGGGGAGGGCTCTATAAAATTCATCGTCACCATCGTTGTTGTTGCTGTCACCATCATCGTAGTCACCATCGTCGTAGTCATCATCACGTACTGCTCGACACCTTGCGCATATCAACAACGGAACTAAGCGTGCGCTCACAACAGAGCACCGAGGAAGTTGTATAAGCACTTCTGGGCAAAAAATAAACCACCCCATTCCCGGAAGCGTGTTTCAACCTTGTCTTCGAATGGTCTCCTCCAGGGAAAAGACATCTCTCATCTCACACCATTGTGGAGCAACCACAATCACCTCGAAGAACACAGCTGTCTACAGTAAACTCCAAATTGTTCTGAGCAGAGAACCAAAGCTCGGGGGGAAGCCTCTTACTATCCGGGGGGAAGTGTTCTTACTCTCCGGGGGGAAGTGTCTTACTCTCCAGAGAGAGTGTCTTACTCTCCAGGGGGAAGTGTCTTACTCTCCGGGGAGAGTGTCTTACTCTCCGGGGGGAAGCTTATTACTTTCCAGGGGGAAGCATCTACTCTACGGAGGAAAGAATCTTACTCTCTTGGGGAGAAGCTTCTTACTATCCATCCAGGGGGGAAACGTCTTACTCTCTGGGGGGGGGGGGGGAGCTTCTTACTCTCCAGGAGGAAAGCGTCTTACTCTCTGGGGGAGAAGCTTCTTACACTCTGGGGGGAAGTTTCTTACTATCCAGGGGGGAAACATCTTGTTCTCTGGGGGGGGTGGGGGGGCGGAGCATCTTACTCTCCGGGTGGGAAGCATCTTATTCTCTGGGGGAAGTGTCTTTCTCTCCGGGGGGAAGCTTCCGGGGGGGGGGGGGCGTCATACTCTCTGGGGGGAAACGTCTTACTCTTCTGGGGGAAGTGTTTTACTCTACAGGGGAAAGCATCTTGCTCTCCGGGGGGAGTGTCATATTCTCCGGGGGGAAGCTTCTTACTTTCCAGGGGGGAGTGTCTTGCTCTCCGGGGGAGTGTCTTACTCTCTTGAGGAGAAGCTTCTTACTCTCTGGGGGGAAGCTTCTTACTATCCAGGGGGGAAGTGTCTTACTCTGTGGGGGGAAGGTTCTTACTCTCTGTGGGGAAATTTCTTACGATCCAGGGGGGGAACGTCTTAATCTCAGGGGGGGGAGCATCTTATTTTCTAGGGGAAAGAACCTTACTCTCCTGGGGGCAAGCTTATTTCTCTCCAGGGGGGAAGCTTCTAGGGGGGAGCGTCTACTCTCTGGGGGGAAACGTCTTACTCTCCAGTGGGAAGCGTCTTACTGTCCTGGGGGAAGCATCTTACTCTCCGGAGGAAACGTCTTACTCTCTGCGGGGGGGGGGGGGGGGGGGGCGAAACATCTTACTTTGTGGGGAAAGTGCTTGACTCTCCAGGGGGAAGCGTCTTACTCTCCAGGGGGGAAGCTTCCCGGGGGGAAGCGTCTTACTTTCTGGGGGAGAAGCGTCTTACTCTCCTGGGGGAAGCGTCTTACTTTCCTGGGGGAAGCGTCTTACTTTCCTGGGGGAAGCGTCTTACTCTCTGGGGGGAAAGCGGTCTTACTCTCCTGGGGGAAGCGTCTTACTTTCCTGGGGGAAGCGTCTTACTCTCCGGGGGGACGCATCTTATTCTCCAGGAGGAAGCATCTTAATCTCCGGTTGGGAAGCGTCTTGCTCTCCGGTTGGGAAGCGTCTTACTCTCCTGGGGGAAGCGTCTTACTCTCTGGGGGAAAGCGTCTTACTCTCCTGGGGGAAGCGTCTTACTTTCCTTGGGGAAGCGTCTTACTCTCTGGGGGAAAGCGTCTTACTCTCCTGGGGGAAGCGTCTTACTTTCCTGGGGGAAGCGTCTTACTCTCCGGGGGGACGCATCTTATTCTCCAGGAGGAAGCATCTTAATCTCCGGTGGGGAATCGTCATACTCTCCGGTTGGAAGCACCTTACTCTAGATGGGAGAAGCGTGTGACAGCATCGTGCACGACGCTTCATGTGAACTCGGCATCGTGCTAGGTTTCAAATGGTTCTCCGATTCACGTCGTGGGCTGAAATTTACAAATCGCACTGTGACTGCAGTCCGTTGAGTCAAAAAGCAAGAGCGTGGCTGCTCTTGCAGCTGGCCAACAGGACTGGTGTGAGCATTATCGCAACACCATTCCACTCCTGCACGTAATGGCACCAGCAGCGGTGGCAGCGATGTGGTTCAGTAGCCCTATGCCAATGTTGAGGTCTGCTGCCAGCCACCGCGAGAGGACTTCCGACAGAGACTCTGACACTTGTAACGACTCCAGGAGACACTGCCTTTCAATGATTCTTTATTGAAGACATGTTCACTTGACAGGTGAGGACCCCGACTTCAGCAGCAGCCCTGAGCCTCTCCTCTCGACCACTTTATCCCCAACGTGGCCTTCTCCCTTGACCCTTGGCCACGCCCCTTCTCTCTAACTCTGTCGATGGCTCTAGATCCCTGATTCGCACCTGTCCCCTTCTATCACTTGGCCACAGCCCTATTCTTGATCCTTCTTGTAGACCCCAGATCGTACCCCTGTATGTCCCTTAACCTGTTATTACCCCTTGCGGCCCCAAGTCTCTTCCTTTGCTAATTCCCCTGGCATTACCCACTGTGACCGCTAGTCTCCTGTACTGTCTTTACACACTGATGGAATTTTTGTGTGCCGTATTTCAACGATAAACTCTCAAACCCGTACTTTTAACTATTTGTCCTGGAAGCGAGAGTCTGGACTGTCGCCAACATCAAAAAATAAACATCTCGTACAGGGAGCCTTACCATCGAACCTCCCACGCCGCCAACGGTCGACCGTCGACCAAATCAGGGACCGGTGGGGCCATGCGGCCGATGGTGGCCACCCGATGCACAAACGGCGTGTTAAAAATCCGGCGGCCTGCGCGTGTGCAGCCACGAATCCCCAAACGATAGACCGTGTCGTAAACACTCTACCGCCGCTGCTGCCACTGCCTTCACTCCTCCAACGGATGAATTCACGAGATCTACTCTGCTTCTTAACAGACAACTGACAGGATAACAACATCTAAATTAAATATTTAATCCGCTGATATAAATCCATACGAAAGAAGAAGATTCATAGAAACACTTTGTTTTTGCCGAACATCCTAATACGGGACCACAGAACATGGGCAAATGTTGGTGGTGCCGGTTCTGCCTCTTCCCCCCAACCTGCCCCAACTGCCTGTATTGTCCCGCGCCTGTGCGCACTACGAATCCTACGCGGCTTGACCTTGAGATGGGCTGCTCGCAGTCGCTGGAACACCTCTCGCAGCCTGGACCAGTGCTCAGACAGAGATCTACTGAACACTATCACGTCATCCAGGTAAATTAGGCACTGTTCCCACTGCAAGCCCCGCATCACCAACTCCATCAACTGCTGGAATGTCGCAGGCGCGTTAGTGAGTCCGAACGGGAGTACTCGGAATTTTAACAGTCCCATCGGGGTGGTAAATGCGGTCTTTGGCCGATCCTCCTCCGCCATCTCCACTTGCCAGTACCCGGACGCTAGATCGAGGGTGGAAAAATACCGCGTCCCTGCGAGGCTGTCAAAGGTGTCATCGATGCGGGGGATGGGGAAGGCGTCGCCGAGGGTAACTGCATTTAACTTTTGATAATCAACACAAAACCGTGTCGATCCATCCTTTTTCGGCACTAGTACAACCGGGGCAGACCAGGGGCTCGCCGAGGGCTGGATTATGTTATCTCGGAGCATATCCACAACTGCCTCTTTGATCTGGGCCCATTCAGGCGCGCCCACTTGGTATGTGGGGAGTTTAATGGGGCGGGCTGCACCGGTGTCAATTTGGTGCTTAACAAGGTCTGTCCGGCCCACATCTGAATCGTGCTCACTGAACACGTCGGCGTACCCCCGAAATAACCCGCGCAGCTGATCGGCCTCCCCCTTAGGTAAATTTTCCCAAGGTACATGTAACGCATCACGCAAGGGGACGACCTCAGCTTGGGGAGTCGGGCCGACTCGCCAGGCCAGGTCCTGGTTGTCCTCGGGGTGGCCGGGGTCTTCAGCCCAGAGTGCAAACACCGAGTCGTTAGAGTGGCGCGCGTGCAGGGGGTGTATGGTGGCTACCGTGGTGTGTCGTCGTAGCATTGCCGGGGTACCATGTGGGTTAAATACCCGCATAAACAGACGGCCCCCATCTGCGTTGACCAGCGTGGCTGATCCCACAACCCCGTACCGTGCCGCCAACTCCGGGTGAGGAGTTAGCATTACCTCACCTGATGGTCGATGTGCGGGGTCAGTGGAGGGTGCTGCCACTGGCACCAGCATCTCGGCAAGCAGCCCGATGGTGACGGCCGACACCAGGGTAGAGGCCACGGGTGCGAAGCGGGGGCAATTCGGCTCGGGTCCCAGGAACGGAATCCGCTCCCCGCTGCCTTCCACGATGGCGCATCGCTGGCGGGGCTGCAAGTTGAGCCCCAGCTTTTCCAGGAGGTCTGTACCTGCGATACACTCGTGGCATAACACGCTCGAGACATAGAACTCTTGGTCACACACCTGGCGTCCGAGACGGACTTCCAGGGTGACCCTCCCCAGAAGTTCCATCCCGGCTCCACTCGCCATGTGCAGCACGCAATCCGGGGCCTGCAGGTGGCCCACGTCAACCCCGAGCATGCTGCAGTGTGTGGCGCTCACGAGTGAGGCCACCACCCCCGTGTCCAGCAGAATCCGGGTGCGCCGCCCATTCAACTGCCCTTCTATCAGCGACGTGGCCCCCGTGATTCCCGCCACCAGCTCCCGCAGCCACCCCCCTTTCCATTGTCTCTGTACCTGCGTTCCCCGGCGTTGACTCACCAATAATCCCCTCGGTCCCTCCCTCTTAAATCCTCCTATATGCCTAGGGGCTTTTCCCTCCCAACCCACTGTTTACACTGCCGCAGGGTGCTTGCCTTGGGGTACCATCCCCCGTGTTGTATATGCTTCATCGCGGCCGGCATGTAAAGCTCTATGCCCCCTTTTTGGGGGGGCTGCCATGCAATCCGGTCTGGGGGGCTCAGCCAATTTCCTGGTCCGGGGAAATCGTGGAACGTCCCTGTTAATGGGGTCCTCGGGGTGAAAACCCATCGTACCAGGTGATCCCTCCTCGTGATCCTACGGGGGTGCATGTGAGTGCTTAGTGGGGCGTGCGTGTGTTTGTGGGGGGGGGGGGGGGGTTCAAGGACAGGGTTGCGCCGGCCGAGCTGCTCCACTACGGTGGCATC